TCTCTAGAGGGACAGACCCGACCTCATCCCAGAGGCGCAGAAAGGCCCAGAAGAGGCCCCAAGCCACCAGGAGGCCCAAATGGAGCTCCAAGAGGTCTTCTCCTTCTAATCCTCCTCCTCCTTCCGCCTCCTCCTCCTCCTCCCGCAACTCCTCCTCCATTCCTTCTTCCTATAAACAACTTCTCCTCGTCGCACCCCGGGGCCAGTTTTCAGGGCGGGCCGGGCGTTTCGCCTGAGACTGCCTCACCACTTATGTTTCTGAAGCTAAAACATTGGCGACACTTTCACAGATGGATGGCGGGTCGTTTTCAACATGTGGTTCTCGCCTTAGCGCGGCGCGTATTCGCTTCAAACATTTGCAAGAGGTTCACGGATTGAGGGCGGGTGGTTAAACATCTGGCTGTCGTTTTCGCGGCGCACATTCATTGTAACAAGTTGCAAGAGGTTGACGGATTGAGGGCGGGTCGTTTTCAACATGTGGCTGTCGTTTTAGCGCGGCGCTCATTCGTTGTAAACATTTGCAAGAGCTTTACGGATTGAAGGTGGGTCGTTTTCAACATGTGGCTCTCGCCTTAGCGCGGCGCACATACGTTTCAAACATTCGCAAGATTTTGACGGATGTAGGGCAGGCCGTTTTCAAAATGTGGCTCTCGCCTTCACGCGGCGCACACTCGTTTGAAACAGTTGCAAGGGTTTCGCGGGTTCCCATCACCAACGTGCCAGAAATGGTGTTGTGGACGGAGTCGGGATTATGCTGGTGCAACAATTATGTTGATCTTCTGTGTTTGAAATCGTACGAATGGCGTTCTGGCAATATTCAGGATCGTCAAGACGCAACAGTCAGATTGATCCGGGCGTTGGAATCCTGACAGCAATGTTTTGGCATGCTTCAGGGTCTTCAAAAACGGTATCTTCCAGCGAGGCAGTTCCTTCAATGGAAATGAACCGTTGTAGTGGCCTACGAAGAGGGAGCTTGGAGGGAGGGTTTACTCCAACATCGTTGATGACTCTTGGGTTTACACTGGTCCTCCTCCTTCTCCTCCTCCTCCTCCTCCTCCACATCCTCCTCCTCCATCGAGCCGTCCTGGCCCATTGGCTGGGATTGCTTCCGCGCACTTCAGGACGGCGCAGCGGAGGCGAGCCATGGCGGAGTGCTGATGCTTCAACTTCACATCAGCGCGAGCTTGCTGTCGGAGCAACTCGGCGATGAGGCTGAAGAGCTTCTTGAGCGGCTTCAAAGCGGAGGCCGTCGGCGTCGTCGTGTACGATGACGACTACAAGGCCTCGGCCTGGCTACGGTATCATGGACACGCTGATCCATCGGAGGGGCTCGGCGAACGCGTACATCCTCGAGGCTCGGAGGGGGGACACGGGTCGGGGCTCTGGAAAGCGCACACGGACACCGCGTCAGAGGCGGCGGCTGGCGGAGGGCGTCTGGATCGAGTGCAAGGGCCACCGCAAGGGCACGCAGGACCAGGTCATGGCTCCGCCGCCTGGCAGGTGGGACAAGATTTGGATCCAAGAGTGGAAGTGCCAGGAACAGAGTTGCAGTCACGTGAACTTTGGCTTCAGGGCGGAGTGCCGCCTATGCCCGAGGCCGGCGCCGATGCATATACTCAACCTGCAGGCCTTGCAGGCGTCGGAGGCCGCGGCGATGAGCCTCCAAGACAAGGCGGAGGCGCAGGGCTCGCAGTATGAGAACCAGGAGTCGAACGAGACGCAGGGCTCGCAGTACCAGCACAAGGAGAAGCCCATCAGCGACACGGCGTTCATGAGCATGGTTGCTCTGCAGGTGGCGCTCACCGAGAGGGGACTGGAGGGAGCCATGAAGCAGGAGCTCGATTACCTCCAGGAGAAGGCTGCCCAGTACGCGTTGGAGCATTGGGGCATCATCCTCACGGAGGGCATCGTCCAGGAGCATCCCATGGAGGAGCTCTTGGAGGAGGTGACGGTGAAGGACGAGCTGATCAAGAAGAACGAGCCCACCGAGCAGCTGAAGGCCATCACCCTGAGGAGGAAGCTGGCGAGGCGGCTGCTGGAGACGAAGAAACGCCTCAGGTACATGAACAACCAGGTGGAGGAGAAGGGTGCCTCGAGAGCGGACGGGAGGAAATGATGTTCGACCAGTCTGGCACGCTGGATGTGGGTTGTGGGCGGAAGGACTGCAGGCCGTATCCTGCAGAGTGTTCTTCTGAATACTCCTCCACGGCTAGCGGGGTGGTTGAGCCCTACCACACGTCGGTCGCCAACGACATCGGGAATGGCGACAAGGAAGGCGAGGAAGATGAAAAGGATTCTGGTGTAAAGCTGACAAAGATGCAACAATTGGACTTCTACGAAGAGGAGTACGCCAAAACAGTTCCGGAAGAGTTCAACATCGGCAGTGATAGCATCGCTGAGTACAAGGACCAAGGAGGACAGCTTGGCGGAGGAGATGGCGAGGAAGGAGGAAATCCGGATCTGATCGACAATGGTGGCGATGACCTGGAGAGCCTCCCATCGCTAGTGGTACCTTTGGACGGGGAGGAGAGCACGTGCGAGGGCTCGGAGCCCAGCTGCTCGGCCGGCGGCGTGGGCGGCAATAGCGTCAAGTCCGAGGCCGCAGGCTCTTCTGTCCCTGTGGGCATTGAGAAAATCAGGAAGCACAAAAAGGACAAGAGGAACAAGAAGGACCAGAAGAAGGAGTTCGGAGATGGCGTCCCCATCGGATTAGGGGACGGACTTCAGCACGGAGCAGCTGGTCAAATAGGCCATCAATCGTTTCGGGCGCGACTGGGCGGAGCAGAATCTGAATGAGCAGTTGCGCTGCAGGATGCTGTTGGCGCCTGAGTTCTTCTCGCGGTCCACTAGCGTCGACAGCCGCCGGAGTTACGACACAAACTGCGAACTCATTCGTGCTGTACTTCGCCTTCAGCTATGTCGGGGGGGCAACACTAGTCATTCTCTGCGCTGTCAGGGCCCCGTGGGGGCCCTGAAGGCGTGGCTCGGGCCGTTGGGCCGTCTTGGGGTTTCCCGCATTTTCGGCCCTTGGTGGGCCCGCTTTGGCCCTTGGTGGTCCCTTACCCTTTGTGGCCGCCTGGCCGCCCCGCTCTCCGGCTCCGCCTTTGGCTGGTGTTGGATCCCCTTGGCCTTGGGCGGGCGGGGCAGCCGCCTGGCCCTGCGTGGCAGGCCCTGCTGGAGCAGGGCGCGTAATCAGAGTCCTCAGAGCCCTCCTCCTCGTCCTCCTACACAACGGCGTGGGGAACACATAGTCCAATTGCTTTGCCAGGCTTTGGCCCAACATTTGGCCACATAGGAGGTGAGGAGAAGATAACAGAGGAGGTAAGCATCCACCGCTCTGTTTGAAAAGACGACCCAGTTGAAGTAAATTTTGGAAATGCCGGGGGGCGCGGTGCTAGTGAATGTATTGGTGATGATTACTCGGAGGGGGAATGAGGAGGGGGGAAGAGGAGGGAGGAAAAACAAAAAGGTGGAGGGAAGGGGAGCCAAACCGAGGAGGGAGGACGAGGAGGAGACTTTTTTGTGTTGTGTGTGTGGGAGAAAAACATCAACGCACCTGCCAAGCCTTGCAACAGGGAGGATGGGGCTTCCTCCCTGAGAGGAGAAGAGGAGATGAGGAGAAGAAGAGGAGGAGGAGGAGGAGAAGAAGAGGAGGAGGAAGATCAGGAGGAGAAGGAGGCGGAGGAGGTCGGACCTCATCACTGTTTCCATCATGGAACCACTGCAGCCCTCCATCCAGGGCCCGAGCGCCCCTCGCAGAAGGCCTGCTCTCCTCGGCACCCGCCTCGTTGCGTTCTCCCAAAGAGCCCAAGCGCGGCCAGACGGCCATCCCCGAGCGCGGGCTGGTGAGCAGAAAGATGCCCGCAGCTTCTCGCCCGCTCCTCCCTCGCCTCCTCCGACCGGGGGCGCGAGGCCCGCCTCGCCCTCGCCTGATCCGAGGGGTGCGCGGACTCGCCGCGGGTGCCCCGGACCATCGTTCGGGTGGTGCCGCGCGGGGCCCGCGGCGCTCTGGGCCCGTTGCGCAGGCTCCGCAGCTCGGCTCTCGCGAGCGCAGCCCGCCTGCGGCTGCACGCCGTCGGCGCGGGCGCGGCCATCTACTGCGCCCCCCGCGGCGGCTCCAGCGGGCCCGCCGCGTGCGGGCGAGGCCGGCTGTGGATCGGTGCGCGCTGCGCGCTCCGCTGCCTCTGGAGGGAAGCAAAAAGAAGCCCCGCAGGCCGTGCACGAGAGCAAGGCGCTCTCCCCCAGGCTGGGGGAAAAAGGTGCCGATACTGCTGCTCCCCAGACCTCTCCCGGGGTGCGCTCTGACCAGGATCTCGAGGCGAGTCCAGCGGTGGCGACGAGGGCCTCCCAGGCGGCCCGAAAAATGCGAAAACGGGGCGAGGGCAGCGGTATGGGTACCTCTATCTTGAGCCCCCCTCCGCGGCAAGCCGCTTCTCTCCACCTCTCCGAGTGTGGCCCTCTCCTCGCCGCGGCCCCTGCTCGGCGGAACCCGAAGCAACTCCTCTGAGCTCCAGGCGCTCCCGCCCTCCACGCATCAGGCGAGGCGCGCGCCCCGGAAGCGACCGGGCCGCCGGCTGTCCGCGGCCACAGCAGGTAGAGGGCGTGCGCCGTGCACTGCTCGCTCCCGAGGCGTCGCGGCGCCCGTGGCGGCCGTGGGCGCGCGGGGGCCGCCCTCCAGATCGCGTGCTCGCTCGGGCCCAGGCTGGCTACGGAGAAGGAATAGGGAGACGGGGGAGGAGGAGGAGGAGGGGGGCGCGAGGGGAGGGAGAGCGAGGGCGATGGCGAAGAGGAGATGGAAAAAACCCCGCGATGGGCCCATCACGTTCCCAGGAAGCCAGCACGTTCCCGGAACCTCCCAGACGGACTGGTGAGCCCCCAAGAGATTACGTGCTCGCCCAGAGACCGCTCGCCCGACGACCGCTCGCCGTACGGAGAATCGGGAGTGCGCGAAGGGGTGATGTCCACGCCTAGTGACCTGCGCCCCAACTTTTAGCCTCTACCTGTGCACGCAACGTGACGTCGCTGTGGGCGTGCTGGGCAGAGGTCTCGTGGAGGCGGCGATGCATCTCCGGGAACCCGCTCGCGTGGAAAATTGTGTCCATGCCAGGGATGCGCTTCTCCTCTGGGGCCCCCCGCGGAAAGATCGAACTCAACTTTGGGAGGTACGCGCAGACTTTTGGGGGTTAGCGCCGGGTCCCCCCGCACTGTGCGGCGCCGCTCCGCTCGCCGGGGACGCGGACCCCCAGAACTCCCCGCGGACCTTCGAAAGTTTATGCTGGTGTGGAGCTGCTCGGTCTTGTGTCCTCGTGCCAGCGCATCTGCTCAGGGTAGTAGGGCCTCGCGGATGCGGGCCAGGGGAAGCCGATCGGCGTTCCAAGATCGTGTGGAACGTAGGACATCCGCGTCATTGGTGGTCGCGACCAGTGTGGATTCGTGACGGTCGCCTGCTCTCCAATCGCGCAGTCCACGATGTTGCAGATGATGAGGAAGAACCAGGAGAACAGGAGCACGGCCGTGAGCGACATCACCGTCAGAGGGGGGCTGATATGCTTTGTCTGCGCGAAGAGCGGCGGGGCCTTTCGCTGTACGTCGTGTCCGTTTGCCTCCGCATCCGAGGCGTCCACGTCCAGAAAGTCCGCTGTGCTGGCAGGCCCTACAGCGAGGCTCGGCTCCTTGCTCCTCATCCCCTCGAGCTCGCTGACGCAGTCCTTGATCGTCTGGCCAAGTGCTTCGTACTCTCTCGACTTCGCGCTCTCCCACTCTTTGCGCTTGCTCTCAAATATGCTGTACTGTGATGTCACCTGTGCCTTGCTGTCGGCAGACAGCTTATCAAAATTGACGGGATCTTGAACCCACTTGAAGGCGCTGTCCAGGTACTGGACTTGGATCTCCACATCCTCCTTGGTCATCTTGCCCTTGTGGCTGAACACCGGATCCACGTGCCCCTCCTTGATCTCCCGTACGATATCGTTTAGCCAAGGCCTGAGGCTTTGAGGTGGAGCGACCATGTAGAGCACGTGCTGGAACCTTGTCGGAAGCTCCCACCCCTCCCAACCCATCGGCAGCCACGAACTTCCTGGGTCATTGTCCGGCCCAGGGTCTATCCTTTCTGGCTGCAGAATCCAGAGTAGGCGCATAGTGTAAATGAGCTGCATGATGTAGGAGGCGAAGATGAAGAACCAAGTGAATCCGATGGCAACCTCGCTGAACTCCACCCGAAAATCGAGGGACATGGCAATGGCTGCAGGAAGGACTGCAGCTGGCCCCATCCACAATGTGACAGAGTACCAGTCGCGCTTGTCTGCCTCATTCGGTACAATGTCGAACTTGAGGAGCAGCACGAGCAGCGTCCCGATGACAAACGCACAGGCGTAGGCCACCCACCAGGCCCGCAGCTCGACATTGATGTGTCCCAATCCATAATAGCAGAGCGAGTGCACGAAGGATAAGTACCCGTACAGCAGAGACACTCGGGCATAGACCTCATACTGGACCTTGGTGCCCGGACCATCGCAAGGCCGATCACGACCCCGGCAGCGGAATTCTGATAGTCAGCGCAATCATGATGCCCCAGATGATATCACAGGCCCCAACCAGTGACACAACCGACTGATAACTTCCTCCTCCTCCTCCTCTTGCTCCTCCTCCTCCTCCTCCCCCTCCTTCTACTCTTCACCCCCGTCCTTCGCATCCTCAGGTTTTGGCCGATCTGCGATAGGCGATGCATGAGATCAGCAACTCGACGCCTTCGCGATCTTCGATTGCGCGGCCCACTGAAGCACCGCACCCAGTGCTTCTGCACGTTCGTGTACAACTGAAAATGCTCCGGGGCAGGGGCACCGAAAGCAGGGGATGCTTTGGCGCCAGGGCCTGTCACCGAGCCAGCTCTGTCGGTGTCAAATTCCTCACGTATCCAGGACGACTCCTTATTCCTGTTCCTCTGCGGCGGTGCCGAAGACGCTCGCTCCGAGACGGGCTCCTCCCTGAAAGCAACGCCAGGGTTGTTGAGGTATGGAATGCGGAAGATGTCGGCCCAATCCTGAATAGAACGCATCCCAGAAACATACCCCCCGAGCTGGCCATACATTAATTTACTTCACCGGGAATACATGTGTAAATGTCGGCGGTGCCTGGTGCGGAGCGAACCCCCCCCCTGGATGCACGACCCCCCCCTGGATGCGGCACCGCCAGTGCGGCCCAGAACGAAACTCCCCAGGATGCCCCTCGGTGTGAGCGTCCGGGAGCGTGTGGGAGCCCCCTGGCAGTGCGTGCGAGCGTCAGGGGCGTTTGGGAGCGCTGGAGGGCGCCCTTCGACGGCGGCTGCGTCGGCGGCGGTGGCGTCGGTTGCGGCGGGGGCGGCGGCGGCGAAGGCGACGACGACGACGACGACGACGACGACGACGTCCAAGCGGAAATCTCCGGAGGCCTCTGGATGTTTTGGGGGTCCCTGGGGGGTTCTGGGGCACTCTCCCCCATTCCCTACCCATTACCCCACTACCAAAGGGGGGGGGGAGGGCGCTGGGGCGCCCCCGGGAAAGAGGGAGACGGGGGTTCTGGGTCGTCGGCGGTACCCAATGCGCTCGGTGCGAAACCCCCGGGAGGCCCAGGCGGGAGGAGGGGTGTTCGTGCCACGGGGCGCCGCCGACATACATACACAGTCCTGTATAGAAAGAAAAAGAAATGGAGAGAGAGAGAGAGAGGAAAGAGAGATAGAGAGAGAGAGAGAGAAGGGGGGAGAGGGATAGGGAGGGAGGGCGGGAGGGAGAGAACCACCCATGTCTAGATGTCTGTGCATATGTATAGATATATAGGTTGTAAATACATACATCTGTGTATATATAACATATATTTAAACATAAAGACAGTCGTACTCAGAGGGAGGGACGCGACACACAACAAGACGGATGATATCTGCAGGCATCCCTGCGCGACCTCTAGCTGTAAACGGGCACCACCGTGCCCGTGAGCTTTGACGTGCGGAGACTGGCACAACGCGCAGCCGCTGGCGCCCAGAAAGGCCGGATGCTTTCGGGAGCTGCGCGAAGGTTTGCGCAATGAACGTGAACAGCCGGCCCGACTGCCCCCAGGGAAGCGCAATTCAGCGAAAATGAGCGTCTTCGCCAGCCCGCTCGCGCGCAGCCGGTCCTTCCACCGTGGGCATGCACTCCTCGAAATCTCCGCTGGCGTCGCAGCACTGGTGCCGCACCGTCGTGCCCGTGAGCGCTGCAGTGCGCGTGAGGAAGCGTCAAGGCCTTCGGGCACCACCACGGCTGTGACGCCACCGCGCCTATGAGCATCACAGTGGTTGCAGACAACGGCGCAATGCCCCGCAGTGGCCGTGAGCGCAACGCGCCGGGTCACGCGACGCGACGGATGGTCCCTGAGACCCAAAAATGGGAAAACGATGCAACGCCGCCGAGAGTCAACGACCCTCGGTTACTACCGTGCTTGCGATCGCCGCCGCGGCTATTTACCCCACCACTTGCTGTCCACAAGGCCCATGGGCAACGCCTACCAGCCTGCTGCGGCTGGAACGAGTAACCCCCTCCGTCACGAACGCTGCGCGGATCCTCTAACATTTCGCTCATCGTGCCGGACAGGCCGACATGGCAGCGCATGCTGAATAGACTAATACAGTATAGCTGTTCCTCTTACGACGTGTGGGATTCACTCATTTGTCAGCTGATACGAGGTTGCGAACCTGATCAGTTGCCATGAAGCTCCGCCCACAGCGGCTAAATCAATCGTGTGATCCTGGGCGAGACGCGGCTGGAGAAATCGGAATGCAAGGAACCGAAGGCGCCAGACAAAAAACGAGGGATGACCATGAATCGCGCAGGAGACGAGAGGAGAAAGAATTGGGGGGCTAGACGGCGAGAGCGACGGGTTCCGTGCAACCAGCGAACCATGGACGCAAACCGGGCCGAGTGGCACGCGACGCATCTGATGCATCAGGACGAGGGCGGACGGAATGAATCACTCTCGCGCCTGCCCCAAGATCGACGCCAGTCTGGCGCAGCTGAGTATACGTGAGGCGCAGCACCACGCGAGGCTGGCGCTGGGCCAAAGAGTGCTCAGCGAGGGCTTCGACCAACATTACTGCAGAGGAAGGCGGGGATGGGTGCAGGGTTTCCCCCAGTGCCATAGGCGATCCGAAGAGGAGGAGGAGGAGGAGGAGGAGGAGGAGGAGGAGGAGGAGGGGGAGGCTGAGGAGGAGGAGGGGGAGGCTGAGGAGGAGGAGGGAGGAGGAGGGAGGAGGAGGGGGGGGAGGAGGAGGAGGAGGGGGAGGAGGAGGACGGGTCGCCTAAGCCCTTCGGAGAAGCCCTCCAGGGAGGGGGGCACGAGGAGCAAAGAGGACAGAGCAGAAGCACAGCACTGGAGCAAGCCCCAGTCTGTCGCTCGTGGAGATTATGTGCAGAAAGCGTGCTGGTGTAAGCGTGGGGGAACGACGACGAATGTGGTACTTACTTTCTGCAGACTGCTCTGTGCACTCCCCTCCTCTTAATGTATGCCCTACACCTTCAACCCTCCATGTCCTACTCTGTGCCCTCTGGTGTGTACCATCGACTTTTTTCTGTTGCTATCTGCTATATGCTCTCGTCTCTCGACTCTGTGCTCTTTGCTGTCTGCTCTCTAATCCATATTCTCTAGCCCAGGAACCCAAATAACGAGCCTGGAAAGCTGGGACTCGACACTCTGGAACCTGGTCGAGTCACCGAAACGGACGACGTACCCTGACCAAGTCCTTTCAGCACCCACGAGGCCCCGTTCACTGCAAGCAATGATTGGAGAATCAAGCCGCACACAAACCTTGGCGGCGCGCACAAGGGGGTAGGGGGAGGGGGCAAGGCTTCTTAGGAGGAGGCTGCTTCTTAGGAGGCTCCGGCCCTGCATCTATAGATAAGGCCTGCGCCGTCTATGAAGCAGGGGTACTTCTAGAAAGCCTTCCCCCTTCCCCCTACCCTTAGGTCGGGCATGTCACCCTACAGGCGGATTGTGGGCGAAAGTTAAACAATAGCCAAACAAGACCCCAAATGATCAAACAAATACGAAACAAGTCGTCCCCAGAGTATTTGTTTTGATTATTTTTGAATCTCCCCCCTGTAGAAGGACACGCCCGACTTGGTCCTAGCCCCCCTCCGCGCCTGGGCGAAGGCAGCACACGATACGTGTCAACCGGGCAACACATTCGAGCTGGTCGTGGACGTGTCGAGGACAAGCCCCCTCCCTCCCCAACGGCCTCCGGCCTCCGAGAACAAACAGGGGCAGCGTCAAAGGCGTGAGTCGCGAAGGCCCGGTGACTCGCCGTGCCTTCGCGACTCGGGGGCACCAGCTCAAGGGGGCGGGGGGGTCGAGCTTGAATCGGCGATGCATCGCCGATGGATCGGCGGTAGTAGGGGCCTCCAAAATGAGGTTCGAATAGGTCGGGTCTGAGGATCCCTCAAACGGTGTGTCAGTCAGAGACTGGGTGGTCACGCAATTGGTCCCGGATCCTGCTGCTCGAACTCGGAGGCGAACTTACGGGCCTTGTCGAGCTGGCGGAGGGACGGGACGGGAAGCCTCGCCTGGCGCGTCAGCAGCTGTGTGGTTGCCGAGTTCGCCCTGTAGCAGGCGTGAGTTGACAACCATATGCACACGACGTAGTACGCGAAGGCGGCGGCGTTGTTCGTCAGCCTGGGCTGGCGGAGAATCAAAGGATGATAGTCCAGAGAGGGTCTAAAGCCAGGGAGTCCTTAGGGGAGGGGAGCAGAAAGAAGCGGGAATGCGGGGACAGCAAGCGACCACAATCACGTCGAGGACACGTCCTCGGAGACGTCTTGCGCATGCCAGCAGTCGTCAGAACACCGACACGAGCGTAGTACTGGTTGTGGCCGACAAGGGCGTCCAGGACGACCAAATCGACCACAGCCATAATCAAGGTGTCCGTGTCGAGGGCGGTGGGCTCTCCCCCGAGGGGCCCTCCGGAAGAGCTCACTTCATTCTGACCGTGGCTCTCTCTTCGGGCCGGCGGGCGCCCCGGACTTCGTGGGAGGCGGCGGGGCCTCCACTCGGCTGCCCCAGAACGGGCCAAGCAGCGGATCGACGGGTCGGCTACACGCCAGGGGACCCCGGGCAGGAGTGACAGTCGGTGCGTGGCTTCAGGGGGGTCCGAGCACAAGCGCAAAGCCGCTGCTATCGCATCCCATTCGGCGATTGGGGGACCCCAGTGGGCCCGCACCAGAGATCACTCCGTCGAAGGGTCCCTCCCACGTTAGGGGAAAAAGCAATGACACAAACGTAGAAACTCGGAGGTCTGAGCGGACTTGTCGGATCGGCGCTGGAGCCCCCTCCCTGGCGCGTTACGTTTATATCATTGCTTGTCCCTCTATCTCCCCTCAACCCCCAACGCGTGTTTCCCCGAGGGTCCCCCACGCTGAGGAAACAACGCAGTGCACTGCAGATGCAGCGCAGTGTAGCGCAGAGCAGGGCAAAGCATTTCAACCATATGTACATCCAACAGAACCATCGCATAGTCAAACCAACCAGTACAGCACACACCATATCAACGCAATGCGAAGTAACGCATGCATGTCCACGCAACTCACATCAAGCGAAGGACGCCGATTCTCATGCCACATCATGTCGCCGCAGTACAGTGCAATGCAATGCTTTGCAGTGCACTGTAGGGTAAAACAGCGCAGCGCCGTCACACTTAACAACTGAGCCCCTTTGTATGTCGCCTGACTTTGCATTGCTCTGCGTACCTGCCAACTTGTCGGTCGTATGACACTTACCTTGCCTGCCTTTTGCCAATGATCAAGACGAATCTCTTGACTGGGGTCGCGTCGTGCAGGCTGCCCCTCCTCCGTCTCTTCCTCCGTCTCTGCCCTCCTCCTCAGACTCCTGCGGCCGCGAAATTGTTGTTCGAGACCCAGGCCCTTGGGACCTCCCGACCCCAGTTGGCGGCGCGCACACCGGGGTAGGGGGAGGGGGCAAGACTTCTTAGAAGTAAGCTGCTTCTTAGAAGGCGCTGGCCCTACATCTACAGACAGAGCCCGCGCCTTCCAAGAAGCAGATGTACTTCGAAGAAGCCTTCCCCCCTCTGCGCGTGGCTGACGGTTCGGGCCCGAGCTTGGCTCGGGCCCGGGCTGGGCCTGGGCTCGGGCTCGGACTCCGACTCCAGCTCGGGCGCCCGACAGGCCATTACAAATGTGTGGATGCGGCTGCCCGTCCAGGGTCCCGGTGCCTCCCGCGCCCGCCCGCGGGGGTGTCACGCGGGCCGAAGCCCGACGAAGCCGACTTGAACCAGAATGGCTGACCCCTCCCCCTAACAGTCGAAACGCTGTCATAAGGAACCCTAGATCATGAACGAGGTCCCTCTACTCCATAAGTGAAGCTTCGACTTCCCATCGGAATCCTGAGGGAGGCCTAAGACAAGCTGTGAAGCAGTTCAGGAACACTCAGCCCCTCCCGGAAAACAAGCTTGACAAGGCTTCTTTCTTCAGCGGCCCGGCTGTATCCCCCGCTGCGCGTGGCCGACCCTTCCCTGGGGCCAAGCTCGGATCCCGGGTAGTCCTTGGACGGCCCCGTGTCCCAGAGGCGGCCTCCGAGGAGGCCCACGGTGGCACAGACCTCGGCCGCCTCGCTCTTGCGTCGAGAAGTTGGGGGTCTGGCCCCCTCGCCCCCTCCCCCTTTAAGACGAAGCCAAGTCGAGGACAAAATCTGGTGAGGGTAAATTGAGAAGATCCTCCTCCTCCTCCTCCTCCTCCTCCTTCTCCTCCTCCTACCCCTTTCCGTGGAAATTGCCAACTGCGCCACCGTCGCGGGATATATCGAGAATCTCTGAGATCCGGCGGCTCTGGAGGATGCCTCGGGCGCCGCGGCCTTCTCAGAGCGCGAGCGTTCCAGAACGCCCTGGAACGAATTCCCCCCACTCAAGACACGCCTCACGACCAGAAGTTCGGAGAGAGTCTGGCTAGCCGTGGCGACGAGAAGCCATGCAGAGAGGCCCAGAGAGGATTGGGGAAACAAGCGACAGCATGGATAGAAACTCTTGGGCGGTCCACGCGGCGCGAACCGCCGAGAAAGCCTGTGTGCTGCTTCCTCTTCGAAGGATGGGGCAAGGCCCGACGTGTATAGAGCAGCCTCGATCCTCGCAACTCTCCCCCCCTCTTCCATTTCTAGCCTTCTGTTGTTCCCATCGTACTTAAGGACCACATCCCAGAAACACCTTCGAGCACCCGGGAAAGCATCGAACGGTGTCGGACGAGTATCGCCTCCCAGGGCACGACACATGAACACCCTCAAGTTTCGGTACTGTCTTTGTGCTCAAAGTTCTTTCTCGTGGTCAAGGCTACAGTTAGGTCGGGCATGTCCCACTACAGGCGGACCCTGGGCGAACAATAAAAGATACCAGAACAAAAAACAAAAGAAAATAAGCAGCAATGATCGACACATCGTCCACCGACTATTTCTTGAATTGTTCTTGAGCGTTCCTCCTGTAGAGGGACACGCCCGACGTAAGGCCAAAGTGGGTTGGAGCATCACATTCCCAGACCCGGCAGCCAGAGGCCCATGACGTGCGTGGGCGGCGAGGGGCCGTGGAGGCCCAGGCGCCCCGCGCAGTAGAGGGCGACGCACAGCGCCATCCTGCCGGGGGCTCCCTCCGCTCCTGCCCCCTCCCTCCCTGGCATCAAACATCCTCCTCCTCCTCCTCATCCTCCTCATCCTCCTCCTCCTCCTCCAAGGCCGCGCCAACGGCGTGCTTGGTTCACGGTGCGGTTGGGAATCCTTTTTTTCCGGGGCACCGAGCTCACGCAGGAAAGAGTGTAGGAAATGATGAAACATCGTCTCCTACATGTCAAACATGCGAATGTGTCGATCGACCACGAAAAAGCGAGTAGTAGGAAAACACGAACCACGTGTTTCTACTATTGGTTTAGCCACGAACCCCGCCTTCCTACAATTGGATTTCCTACTTCGCCGTTGGCTACACACTAACAGCGCGTCTACGGTCCCTCCCGTGTTTCTCTTCATCAAACATTTTACAATGGAGGCCAGTCCACAAGAAACCTTCCACAAGAAACCCAAACTTGAGACCACAGGACGTCCATTCATTTTTGGTGTGGGAACGCCACGCTTTCAATAGAAGGCGCCCTGGAGGCTAGCAGGGTGTTTCTTGGCATGGCTTGAGGTGATCCAGCAAGGCGGCACTGCCACGGACTCGGCAATTACGACTGGACCGATGAACTCCACCCTGCCGCACGAAGCCCTACACCCGTGCAGCACACGGGAGCTAACCTGGTCTTAAGTCGAGCCTGTCCTTCTACAGGGGGATTTTGGTGGAAACATTCGAAAATAATCAAACCATGCCCCAAAACGGCAAACAATAAACAAAACATCGTCCCCTGACTATTTTTGGACTACCTTTGAATAGTCCTCCTGTGGAGGGACTGGCCCGCCTTAAGCCTGGTCGCGCTTTCACGGCAAGGCCCCTCCGAACGCGTGCTCTCGGAGGTCCGCGCGGATTTCTCGCGCAGGCGCTGGCCCCCCCCCCCCCCCCTCCGCACGACTCCTCGCGGCTCCGGGCGCGGGGGTCAGGTCGGACATGTCTCCCCACAGGCGGCTGTGAGGCGAAGAGCAAAGAATACCCCCAAAATGATCCCAACGAGCTAAAAAATGACAAATACAAATCGTCCCCAGACTGTTTCTAAACTACTTTTGAATATTCCCCCTGTAGAGGGACAGGCCTGACTTAACGCTGGGGGAGGGTGTGCGGGGGGTGGTGGGGGGGGGCTCAACCGCTTACCTGAGAAATTTTCGCGGAGCTCGGACCGTTTTGTGCTCATGCAGTTCTTTTGGTGTTCGACCTGCACCCAGGAGATGGGGAGGCGGAGTGGGGGGGGATACTGAAAGAGAACAGGCCAGATGGGAGGGAGGATGCGGCGCTGTTCTCTCACGTCCCAAGCGAGGCGAAGATGCCGTATAGCCCGCACTTCTTGGCAGTGAGCTCCGACAACTTGCGCAAATCCTCGCGGTACATGTCCATCTGCTCGATGGCGAACTCCCGACCTGCGGAAAACCGCTCGTACCGGAACTCGGCGTCGTACCTCGCCGGAGGTCTCTCCCGAGGTTATCGCGGAGGCTTCCGAAGGCCTTCTCGGGCCTCCAGAGGCAGCGAGAGGGTTAACGATAAATGCAATCAAAAGCTTCGATCCTCGATCCTCGAGGAAGGAGATCAGGAGAAGGAAGAGGAGGCACATGTAGTTCTCCCGGTTATAGCCGAATATGCCCAAACCAGCAGCGCCAGCCGTGCCAGCCGCGCCAAGCGCCGCAGCGCTGCTCACTGGAATGGCGGTCATCCTGCTAGATCGGAGGTGAGCAATGTGGAGGAAGAGCGCGAGGAGCAGGAGTGGGGGGAGGGGGAGGATGAGAACCACGAGGAGGAGCAACACAAGTCAAAAGGAGGAGGAGGAGGAGGAGGAGGAGGAGGAGGAGGAAGGGGAGGAGGAGAACGCCGGAGGAGCTCGACGCCCTCGCGCGGACTCGGGCGCGCCGGAGGAGGCAGAGGCCGCTGGCAGCGGCGGCGGCGGCGGCGAGCGGGCGAGCGAGCGAGCGAGCGAAGGCGGGGGCGGCAGCAGCAGGAGCAGCAGAGGCAGGGAGCCACGCGGCCAAGACCAGAGCGGCGTGTGCCAGGGCGGGCAGCAGGAGACGAAAAGCCAGGGCGAGAACCAAGTCGCGTGAGGATGCATCGAGAATCTCTGAGATCTGGCGGCTCTGGGAGACTTTATCGGGCGCCGCGGCTTTCTCAGAGCATTCCGGACCGGAACACTCCGAGAGCGTTCTGGAACGCTCTGGAACGGATTTCTCCTTGTCCTGGCCCCGCCTGATCCCTCCCCCCTCCACACGCCTCCTGACCAACATTTCGGAGAGAATCTGGCCAGCCGTGGCGACGAGAAGCTTTCCAGACAGAGGGGTCCGGAGAGGATTAGGGGAACACAAGACAGCGTGGACATACATTTACGGAGGTCCGCGCGGCGCGGACCTCCGACAGTTTAGGTTTGTGCCGCTTTTTCCTGTCCTTGCCCCAGCCCCTCCCGACAACAGGGTAGGGAGGGGGCTGCACTCTGAGAGGTCAGGGGGGGGGCCTCTCCGAAGGGCCGGGGGCTTCCGAGAGAAGGCTGCCTGGAAGGCGGGCCCGCTGGCTTCCCAGCAAGCTGCCGCCGCCTCACGCCACCCTGTGGGGGGCAACGATACGGGGGGGGGGGGGGGGAACTGCTCAGGAATCGGCGATACCCCCTGGGGAGAGAAACCGCAGGTTCCTGGGCGGCCGAGTGGGATATCACGTCCCTACCAGCGATCAATGGGCGGTTGGGGGTCGATGCGTCCCTTCCTCAGCCTACCACCCCACCGTTCCTGGCGCACCTGGGGCGCGTGGCCCGCCTGGCACGCGTGGCGCACCTCGCCCCAACGTCGCGCACGTGGGGCCTATTCTGATTCCCAGTAGCAGCCCATCCAAAGACGACCGCTGAACGTGCTGAGGCTCGTGTGCTACGTATGTGTTGGGAGGGCGGGTGGAGGTGAGCGAAACGGCTTGCGGGCGGGGAGGGTGTCTCGATCCCCCCCCCACCGTTCCCCCTGCCTCTTCCCCGAGGCCGCCGAGGCTGGGCGCGAACGTGGGCCCTCGGCGGAGGATGAGGGAGAAGGGGGGAGGAGGGGATGAGGTGGAGGAAGACACGAGGATGGGGAGGAGGAGGAGGAGGAGGAGGAGGAGGAGGAGGAGGAGGAGGAGGAGGATCAGGAGGAGGAGGAGGGTTTTTAAACATCGACGAAAGCTGCCACAATACATCTGCTCGGTGGCGGGACCAGCAACGGCTTGTGTGCACCTGCCGTGAAGCCGCCCATGAGCACGAACACGGGGTCCAGAGCAGCTCGAGCAGCTAGAAAGATGTGGAAGGGAGGAGGAGGAGGAAGGAAAGAGGAGGATGATAAAGAGGATGATGATGAGGAGGAGGAGGAAGAAGAGGATAAGTGTAAACCCACAACGCATAAACGATATTGCAAATAACCCTCCCTTAAAGTTTCTTCTTCACAAGCCCCTACAATGATTTACCTTCACCGTGGGAAATGCCCCCGTTGGAAAACCACCGCTTGAATATCCCGAACTGTGCCAGAACACCATTCCTGGGACTTCAACGCCGCAGATCAACGATACTGTTATGTCTTGACAATCCGGAATCGTGCCATAACACCACTCCTGGGACTTCAACATCGCGAAGCAACGTAACTGCTGTGTCCTGACAATCCGACCCCGTGCAACCACGAAACTTCTGGGAACGTAACAATGCCAACCCGTGAGGATGCACCATTTTTTAAACGATTTTTTTCCTAGGGAAACGAGGCACTTAAATCTGTACCGCGGGACTGGCGCAACCGCCAGACGATCTATTGCTACTGCCAAGTCTGCATTGGAACCTACATCAAAACTGGACGAACGCATTGTGTGCGCAACCCCGACGGCCTCCAACCGTTTATATGGGACACAATGAAAGCCAATCGCAAAGCCGATCGTATCGCTGCCCGCATCGACGGCTCTGGTGCAGCGTCGTCGTCGTCGTCGTCGTCGTCGTCGTCGTCGTCGTCGTCGTCGTCGTCCGTCGTCGTCGTCGTCGTCGTCGTCGTCGTCGTCGTCGTCGTCGTCGTCGTCGTCGTCGTCTCGTCGTCGCCGTCGTCGTCGTCGCCGTCGTCTTGGGGCGGCCCCCGGCCTTCCTGGGGCTTGTGGCCCCCCTGTGGGGGAATGGTCTCCGAGGCAGTGGTCTCCGAGGCAGTGGTTCTGAGCCCACTTACGGGGCAGCTTGTTTGTATATATCCAGGCTGCCATTGGCTCTTCGGTAGTGTTTTTCTTGATGGGTGCGCTCCCGAATCGGCCTGCAGCGTTGGGAGGCCACGCAGAGTGGGCGATCCGCCGACGGGCAGTCAGCGAGCAGAGCCTCTGGCCACATAGCTGCGGCCAGATTTCGGTTTCGATCGCGAGACTGATCTCGGTGGTGGGCTCCCCTCTCCGTCCTCCTCCTTTCGCCCTCCCTTTCCCTCCGTCTGGTGGTGCCGATCTGTTGGTCGCAGCCTGCAGGTCCATCCGCGGATGCGGAGGCCCCAGGCGCTCGACTCGTGCGTGCAGTCTCCCTTCCTCCCTCGCTTCCTCCGTCCTCCGCCCCCTCGCCCTCCCTCTCCCTCCGTTTGGTGTTGCCGATCTGTTGGTCGCAGCCTGCAGGTCCATCCGCGGCTGTGGAGGCCCCAGGCGCTCGACTCGAGCGTGCAGTCTCCCTCCTTCCCCCGTTCCTCCGTCCTCCGCCTCCTCGCCCTTCCTCTCCCTCCGAATGGCTGTGCCGACCTGCTGGTCGGGGCCTGCAGGTCCATCCGCGGCTGTGGAGGCCCCAGGCGCTCGCCTCGAGTGTGCAGTCCCCCTCGCCTCCTCCTCCTCCTCCTCCTCCTCCTCCTCCTCCTCTTCCCTGGAAGCTGTTTGCACGTGCATGTCCTAGCTCTGCTTATGTTTTTCTCGCTGGAGCCTATTTCTCGGCCTCCAGGCGTCGGCCTCCTCGTCGACCGGCGGGCAGGTTGTCTGAGGCGCTGGTGTCCCGCCAGGGGAGCTTCGCTGGCCTGCCAGGCGCTTCGCCCCTCAGAGTCCTGCGCTCCGTCGGCCCTCGACCCCATCGTTGGGGTGACAGCAGGCCTGGCGCGCAGCCTTACCATGTGAGCTATCTTCGCAACTCGGTAATTTGTGCTCGCCAGTTGTATGCTACGCCGACCCTCAGGGTTTGGTGCCTCTGTCTTGGCATTGAGGCTCTCAGAGCACGTGTCTTCTTATCCGCTCGCGTTGGGCTCCAGTGCGGGTCCCGCCTGCATGATTCATGTTCCGGTAAAGGGTACGCACGCGCGTGTTTCACTCTGTCATCTCTGCTCATGCCTTGCCTTCCTCCATTTTGCTGCTTGCCTTCCTCTTTCTGCTCGTGCTGTCCACCGCGTGGCGATGTGCTTCTGTCGCTGCACCAGAGCCGACCATTGTTTAAACGAATGCGTTAAACTCCGTGTGCGCGGTGCTGAGGCGAGAGCCACATTGTGAGCAAGAGCCGCCCTCCAGTCGTGAAGCTCTTGTATTTTTCCCTACCTAGGCTCTGCCTAGAAGGGTTCTTACCCTGTTGGCTTAAAGGGCCGGGCAGTGCTTAGCTGTAGCTTAGCTGTAGCTTAGCTTTAGCTTAGTGTTACCTCAGCTTTAGCTTAGCTTTAGCTTAGCGTTAGCTTAGTTTTACCTCAGCTTTAGCTTAGCTTTAGCTTTAGCTTAGCTTTAGCTTAGCGTTAGCTTAGCTTTAGCTTAGCTTTACTGTTACTACTAGTGCTGCTTTCCTAGGGGCTCCAACTCCTAGGTCGGGTCGTACTGGGATAATTGTTTAGCAGATACGCGCAGCGCTGACGCGGGAACCACATTTTGATAGCGGCCTGCCGTCCATCCGAGACGCTTCTACACTTTTTGTTTGTTTGTGTCCGCTTTGGCTTTCACACACAGCAAACACAATGTGCGCGGCGCTGACGCGATAACCACATTTTGAAAGCGGACCGCCCTCCACCCGTGAAGTCTTGCAACTTTTTAACGCGAATGTGCGCGGAAGCGAGAACCACATTTTGAAAGTGGACTGCTCTTCATCCGTGAAGCTCTGGCAAACTTTCAGCTTAAAGGGTCATACAGGGCCAGGATGACTCAAGCGAAACGCCCAGCCCGCCCGACCGATGCGCCTCGGGGTGCGACAGGGAATAATGATTTGTGAGGAAAAGGATGGGAGGGGTCGGCGGTGGCGGCGGGGAGCAGGAGGAGGAGTAGCAGGGAGGAGCAGGAGGAGCCCACGCCGCAGGAGTCCCCGATCTGCCCGCCCAGGCCGCACCGTCGGCGCCGCCCGCGGTCCTCGCGGGGCCTGACCTCACACCCGTGCCGACGTAGATCAGGGGCTCAAATGTGGAGTCGGATTTGCCAATCATGAAGCCGTCGCCTGTGCGTTCGACGGCGATGCCGCCAAGGGGACCTGCAGCCACCTCGTCCGTCTGAAGAGTCGCAACCTCGAACCCTTGCTCTGCAGCTTCCGCATGCTCCAAGATCTCCGCATGCATGTCCATCAACGCAACCAGTAGCGTAATCTCATCCATGCTGCCAACCAGGAGCTCCGCATGCATGTCCATCATGTCTGCCAGCGAGGACTCACTGCTGGATGCCGCCAATACTGCCATCATAAGCATGTTGAAGGAGTCCTCCTGAGCAGGAGGCAGAGCGCCGAAGCCAGGGAAGCCGGGGAAAGCGAGGTCGACCATGGGCACGCCGTCGGCGCCGCCAAGGGGGTCGTCATGGCTTGCATCGCCGCTTGCACGTCAGTTGGTCCAACGGCAGGGACATGAAGAGGAGCATCCTGCGGTCCCAGAGGAATTAGCGAGGTCAGCCGTGGTCACGGTGTCATTCCCGTCGAAACTGGCCGAGCTATTGTGCCCAAGCTCGTTGATGGATTTCTCAACGTCCTTCCTTTACGATCCAGGGACTTGCTGGCGGGCGGCCTCCGATGCTCTGATGGCCGCCGGAGCCGGCGAGATGGCAGCGCTGGGGGCGGTCTTGGCGGGGCGCGCCATGAGCTCCCCCAAGCTCACCCTTGAAATCTGTGAACTTGGAAGAGGACCGGCCCCGGGCTTTCGGGTCTATGCCATCGCCGTTGTCCTCGGAGGCGGAGCCATGCCCAGATCTGGAGTGGTCATCATCACGTCCTTGCGTACCATCTTGGACAGGCCCACGACCAGTGAGGGTAGATCCAGGAGCAGCATGTTCACCATTGCTGGCCTTCGCTGTCTTCGAGTGCTTGGCGAGAGCATCTTGCATGCGGCTGACGGCATACGGAGCGGCAAGATGCCACGGCAGAAGCAAGGTCTTACTCTCCAAGGTTTGATAGAGAGCAGATGTCTGGCCGCGGTCAGTGGTGTCCACTCTGCCCCCACGGAAATTGGCATCTTGAGCCCCAAAAATGGTTACGGAGAAGGAGGGGGAGGAGAAGGAGGAGGAGGAGGAGGAGGAGGAGGAGGAGGAGGAGCAGGCGGATTGGGGGAAGAATGGGGGGCCTACCCCCCGAGGCCGCCGAGGCTGGACGCGGGCGCGGGGCCGCGCGGCCGCGCGGACTCCTGCAGGGCCGGCCGCAGTCGCCGCCCGCCCACAGCGGCGCCGCGCGGCAGCCGAGCGGGGCCGATGGCCCTGGGGTGTGACTACCTACCAGACCTCCCAACCCAACCCGACGACCCGAACTTGACCCGAATATCGGGTTGGGGGGGAGTAACGGGTTCCATGTATTTTTTCAATGTTCCCCGACCCCCGGCCCCCACTGGAAATGGAGGGCAAACTGAGGCCTTCGAGTTGGGTTGGGGTGGTTTGGTGGGTGGTGAGGGTGGGGGTGCAGAAGACAGGGAGCCAGTCTCCCACGAGGGGCCGTGCGCTGCAGAAGTCCCCCAGCCCCCGCCCGCCGCTCCCCTCCCTGCTCCCCCCTACCGTTCGGCTCCGGTGCTCCCTCGGTGTCCACCGCGGCGTTCAAGGCGTTCCAGACACGTCGCACACATGTGGGCTAACTGGGCAAGGAGCAGCAGCAACCGCGGAAAAGACTCCCCCCGTGTGCACCCCTGCGTGAACAGCTGCCCAAAGGTAGTTCCGGCGTTCCAGGCGAATCCCAGGCGGCCTCCACGAGCGCCCTCGCGGAAGCCCAGGGGGGTCCAAGAGATGCCCCACCCGATACGGATGGTGGAAAGCCGGGCACATCTTGGGCCAGGATCGCCCCTGGCAGCCTCTGAAAGGAAGGAGGCATCTCCCCGACGAAATCAGGACAAAGATCAACTCGGGTAATGATGAACCGAGGATCTCTGAGATCCGGCGACTCTGGAGGATGTCTCTGGCGCCGCGGCCTTCTCAGAGCGTCCCGGAAAGCTCTGAGAGCGTTCCGGAACGCTCTGGCATGGACTTATCCTCGTCCTAGCCCCGTCCGGCCCCCTCTTCCTCCACATGGCGGGTTCAAAAAACCCTGAACCAAAAAACCGCGCCATCTCCTGGGAGGCCGATCTTTACATCCGCTGGCTTCCGATGGCCTTCGGCCGGCTTCCGCCGGCCGAGGCGGCCTCGTTTTGCTTCCGCCGGCTCCCGCCGCCCTTCCGCTGGCTTCCGCCGAGGAAGAGAAGTCAACTCCTTCGGCCGTCGAGGGCAAGGACCTTTCTGAAATGCTTCACATGCCGCCCTGATCTGCAGGGTTTCGGGGGGGCACGCCATGGGGTGTCCGCCAGTTTTTTTCCAGCGCAAGCAATGCAATCACCTCAGCATGGTGTTAGCTCGGGCGAGTGCCGCTCGCATCAGCAGCCAAGTGAGAAGAGATCGCGATGCAGATCCGCAGCCCCAGCCGAGAGGGGTGAAGGCAGATGCTGCACGTGGGGCTTCAACCAGATGCCAGAAATGAAGAGGCACCAGTCACGAGGGGGGGAAGATGGGGAGAGGCGGAAGGGAAGAGGAGGAGCAGGGGGCAAAGGCGTTGTGCATCCCGAGTTGGTGTCCGCAGGGGTGGTGGGGTGGGCCCAGACCCTCGACGTCATGAGTTCTTCACAACCGCGACCCCCAAAGGTCTGGACCCCTTTCCCGGGACCAGCTTTTCATCCTGAGTCGTTTTTTGATGGTCCCGGGGCCCTGGGAGGGCCCCTGCAGGAGGCCGGAAATACAGAAAAAACTCCCCTCATGATTTCTTCACAACGCGAGGGGGTCTGGGGAGGGCGCACGCTCGAAGGCCTCCGGCAAGCCCGGGCCTACGGGAAGCCGCCGCACCGCGGGCGGGGCTCTGGCAGGACGCCGCCCGCCCCAGAGGCGGGCTCTGGAGACTGCTTCCTTCCGAGGGCTATGCCTGGCCGCCAGCTCGAAGCGCGGGTTGCTCCCGAGCCGCTCCGCTGACCAGCCTCGAACTGATTCCTACCCCTGAGGATCGGCTAGCCCAAGGTGATGACAATCTTATCCATGCGCCCTCAGAAACGGATTGAATCCTTGAGATCGGCACCGAGGTATTTTGGTCGACCCAAAAGGGGGTCCAGCTGAAAGGGGGTGGTGCAATAGATGTGGGGCAATTGTGTTGCAAATCTATTGCGCTGGAGAATTGTATTGCACTGTATTGCGACGGATGTATTGCACGCGAAAATCCAGCAATCTATCTGCGCCCTGGAAGGTATTGCACGCCCCACATGTACTGCAACCCCACAAATCTATTGCAACCCCACAAATGTATTGCACCAGATCTGTTGCACCACCCCCTTGTCGCTGGACCCCCTTCTGGGTCAACCCGAGAGATCGGCACCGAGGTACATGTTCCAAGCCGGCAATCCGCGAAGTGCCGGGGGGTCTGGGGACGAGGCTGCTTCGGCTCAGGCTCGGCTGCGCCCCGGGTGCGGCTGCCGAGGGGGGCCCCCGCCTCCACGTCTGTGCCCAGCTCAGTCTGACCGCGCCAGAGGCAGGAGGAGGGATCGGGGGTAAGCTGAACGTAAAAGTGACCTTTCGCAGGAGTGACCTTTGGTGCCGGCACAGTTGGGTCCCCAGATGACTGAAAACGAAACAGTAGCAGCTGCTTGCGCGCCCCCCAAAAAGCCGCGCACCAAAGGTCACTTTGACTCAGGGTCACTCTTGCGTGTAGCCGAGGGGGAGAGGCTGCTCTCTGCCTGAGCTGTGGGAGGCGCAATTGACCTGGCACGCTGAGGCACACCGTGTCAAGGCACCCGCTGGGGTGCGAGGTCCGATCTGTCACTGCCAGAGCTCTTGGCACTCTGGCCCTCAGAAGCGCTGCGTGCAACCATCGCCAATGTGTGCTGCGCTCTTACCGTGCTTGGGATCGGCGTTTGGGGTTCGTTCCTCACCCGAGGCCAGGGATGCCCGAGCTTCCCGTCTTCTGCGTCCCACTCCTATCTCGCCCCCGGGCCAAGGGAGCGGCAACCCGCACTAGCAGGAAGCCTCGGCACCCAAGACCTTGAGCCGAAGTGGCCGCGGTACCCCGCCCGCTCCCTCCTCTCCTGCACTGTTTGGTTCTCGGCAACTCGAGTTCTTCTGCGGGGCGCCGCTGCTTCCCTCCATCTCTTTTCCCCGCGTGCTCCCCTTCTCACCATCTCCTTCCGTCATCTTCTCCTCCCAACTGGTCGATCCCCTCCTCCATCTTCCCCTCTCCCTCCCCTCTGCCTCTACGCTCTGGTGCCTGCCCGGGTCTGGTCCACCACGCCCCCCGCTGGCGACGAGAGCACGGCCTTCGGTAGGGGAGAGAGAGAGGGAGAGAGAGAGAGAGAGAGGTGGGGAGCAAACACAAGCTCGAAACACGGCCTCGCCCCCCTCCGACAAAGATGGATATACGCATACCTGTATGTTTGCCAGCGTGGGCTCCAACCAAGAAGGAATTGAACTGTGAGCATGAAAGTGATACGGTGCGGAAAACTGCCCAAGTAAAGAATTCACAACATGCTGCACGCTGTTGACAAAATATGCTGCCTGTGCCTCTCACTCGCATCACCGCGGTGCGAACACACTTGGCGGCATAATCACCAGGCGAGCGAAATCCACCCGATCGTGCCACCTCGTCTGCTCGACTCATCGACGTGCGCGGGTGTCTGTGAGTTATGTGGTGCAAGCTGTGCATGTTCGAGGAAATCCTGCGCGACACGCTCCCTTTCCTATTGGTTTCGGGCGTCGAGCCAGGATACAAATCACGCGCGACACGCTCACGGTTCTGCGGTTTCGAACCGGATTCGATCTGGGTTCGCATCATCTGTTCAACATCATCCCGCACGAAATGCTCACGCTCCTATGGTTTCGAATCGGATTCCATTGCTCCACATCCTGAGTGGGCTTCTTGTTTTTCCGGGCACCCCGCGCAGGAACACACCCACCCACACACACAATCATCGTCGTCGTCATCATCATCACCACCACCATCATCACAATCATCTTTATCATCATCACCATCATCATGATCATTATCACCATCATCAGCATCATCACCACGATCATCACCACCACCACCACCATCATCATCATCATCATCAGCATGACCATCATCATCATCAGCAGCATCGTCGACATCATCGTCAACATCATTTTCACCACCATCATCATCAGGATCATCATCCGAATCGTCATCATCATCACCACCATCATCATCATCAGCACCTTCACCATCATCATCATCCACATCATCATCATCATCATCATCATCATCATCATCATCATCACCATTACCAGCATTCGCATCACCACCAGCATCACTATCACCACCATCCGTATCAGCATCCAGCACCACTATCAGCATCGTCACAGTTACCATAAGCGCCATCGTCGCATCACTACCTTTTCATTTGGCACATCAGCGCCATCACCTCTATCACTATAACCATCAAGATCGGACATCACACACTCACACGTGCGGTCACACACTCAGCCCTCGCACGCGCCCTCTCACACACTCACCCCATCGTCAACCTCCTCCTCTCTTCCTCCTCCTCCTCAGCATCATCATCACCATCATCATCATCATCATCATCATCATCATCATCATCATCATCATCATCATCTGGAAGCCTCATTTGTGAGTGAGTCTCGAGGAAGTCTCGAACGGAAGCTCTTCCCTACGGGGTCCCCGCTTCCATGTTCGAGCCCAAACGGGTCATCCGAATCCAGAGGAGGACGAAAAGGAGGAGGAGGATGAGGAGGAAGCGGAGGAGCGACCGTACCAAGAAGGGAAGAGACGAGGGCAAGCGGGCAAGACGCGAGAAGAGGGCAAGTGATCCCGCTCCACTTCGTCTCAGGCTACGGCCTCATCGCGTGCAACGCAGCGGTTCGGTACTCAGTGCCAGTGGTGTAAAGAAGCGCGGTGCGAGGCGCGGCGTGCGTGATGACACGCATTTGTTGTAAAAGTGAAATCAAAGTGCTGTCCGACGGACAGCCTCAGGAATAGCTTGCTCAGGGTCAGCGCGTTGCTCAAGCGTCCCTGGGCCGATGCGAAGGAGGGGGTCCGAGGAGAGGAAGGAACGAGGTAACGCGAGGGAGTGAAGGAGGCGGGGGCAGCTGAAGTAATGGCCGGGACGATCTGGGCAATCATCGCACCGGAGCAGGCAGGTGCGGCGCGGGCCGAAGGGGAAACGGTGGCTGGTCCGCCACGCTCCCGCCAGCGTCTCATATACGGCCCAGCGAATGGCTGGGGCCTTCTTCGAGAGGTGAGTGGTTAATTCCTGCCAGCGGTCGGATAGATTCAGTGGCACTACGAGATCGGGTAGCGCCGACGAGAGACGGCGTGCCACAGTCTCAGCGAACTTGTCGGGGAAGAGGGAAGAGCGAAGGACCGAAGCGAGCGAACGCTGGACCCTAGCACGCCTGGATTCTTGGGCAGCGGAGTCTGTTCGTCTGCGGCCGCTCGCCGAGCTGCGCGCCAGACGAGCGGTGAGACCGAGTGCGGTGTTTTGCCGTCAGCAATCTCGCGCCAGTATTCGACGATGCCAAGGCACTTCCAAAACGCGGGAGAAACGGTGGCCCGAATGCGGGCCTGGGCCAAATCCGCCAGGGACAGTTCTGGGTTGAGCTTGTCTTGAGCAAGTACTGATGAGAGATGCAGTGGCTTCCAATCGGGAAGCGTGACAGGGGCCGTGCGCCGCGCTGGGGCCAGTGAAAGCGTGGTCAGTGAATTGGGGGAGGACGAATGCGACCACGAGCGAGCACCGAGGAGGTCGACAAGGCGCCAGGAGTTGGGGGGATACCTGAGAATCTTATGAGGGGTGCCACGTTCGTGCAGCAGGAACGTGGCTGGAAATGGAAAGTACTGCGTGAGGTACGCGAGGACAGTGATAACACATGTGTTATACAGTTAGAGCGCCACTGCGGGGCCAGGAGCGCTCGCCGCGAATTGTACAACGCGCAACCAGTATTTCACATGCGGCTTCCCATTGGATGTCTAAAATTACTGCTGGGCCAATGAGTTTGCCTAGATAGCGAGCGTATTCTGCAATCTGAATGCGTTGCCACCCAGGCGCCAGAAATATTTACAGGCGTTGGGTGAGGGAGTGCACGGCAACTGAAAAAAAAAGGAAGCTCATAAGGGCACAATCGCTGTCTTCTGGATCTGTAGTTCGAGTCCTGCGAGAGCAGCAATGGCCCGAAACGAGGGGGGGAGGAAAGGGAGGGTCCCAAGGCGAGCGAGGACGAGACCCAGGTCATCTGCGCAGACACCGAGCTTGTTGGATCCAGGGAGGGTGCTTATAATCTGGACTAGGTGTCTAATGCGTGCATCAGAAGCCAGGGCCCAAATCGATCTCGAGAGGGGGCAGCCCTGGAGAACAACTGAGCCTATTTCGAACATGTGTTGAAGACAGCCACCTACACGAGCCCAGGCTCCAGGGGAGTGATAAAGAGTAGAAGTGACGCTGAAATAGCCTGGAGGAACCCCGTGAGCTACCGGAGATGCAAACAAAAACTCCGTTCCGAAGGGCGGGGAGGCAGCACGGATCGGGGGAGCATCTGGTGCCTCTGGGGAGTGACCTGCTCTACGTGCCTCAGAGTCTAGGGTCAGTGCGTGTTGTCCAAAGTTTCGCCTCTTTACAAAACTCTGTTGCGCGTCTATTGTCCAATCCCTGACCTTGTCCACGAGACCCAGATTCACTACGTGGGCGATCAGTTTGGCGTCGCAGTTCTTTAAGGCGAGGGGGCGAGTGGCACCTGGAGCTCGAATGGCGGCATACTGGTCCTGGGGTTCGTCTCCTTTCGGAAAATAAACGAAGACCGAGTCGTTGAACTGGTGCGAAGCCAGGCCCGTTTCGAACATCTGCATCGTGAGGTCATAAAGTATCTGAGAAGAGCCAGGCGAGGTGGCCCATGCAGCGTACGGAGTCTGATGCGGGCCTGGAGCGGTATGTCTGACCCCGCGGAGGGCCCTCTGAAAGTCCGGAAGAGCTGGAACCCGTAGGTCCGCTCAATCGAACTTGGAGAGGTGCCGGGACAAGCACTGCTGAACCGCCGCGGGGTCCACAATCTTGCTGGAGAAGATGGGCTGCCAAAACTTCTGGACGCCTCCGGGAATACCCTCTGGGGAACTGGTGGTGGTGGGGGGTGCTGTAGGTGTCTCCTCTTTCGGTATCCTAAGACCTGAAGGTACGAGTCGACGGCGAAACGGATTCCAAGTCCGCGCCCGGCGCGTGAGCTGCATCGCGGCCTTCCGACTGCCGGCCTGGTCCAGCTGCATCTCGGCGTTGGACTGCAGCTGGCGCTTCGTGGCGAGGGCGATGCGCCTGCCGTAGTCGGCGGTGGCCGCCGCGCCCGTCAGCTTAATATACTCGTCCCTGTTCGTGATCTCGGGGCCGTCGTCCGTGAGGCGCAGGTGCGCGCTGCCGATGTCGGTCGCGGCCATGAGGAGCGGCGCCGTATCTGAATCCATTCGCCAAAGCGCCCGTGAAACTGCGCGAAGAGTAGTCGGCCTGCCATGTTTTGCCCAGCGACTGTGGTCATGAAGGGGGGCACGCTGCTGCAGGTTGCGAGTGGGCCTCGCCGCTTCCAGGCTGCGCTGGGCGTCGACGCCGCCATGGCAATGTTGTCCTTCAAAAAATTGGAGTGGCGTTGGTCGGTGGGGTCGTGGAAGATGATCGGGTCGATAGCTTGCTCTTCTGGCCGTGAGGCTGAGGCGTTGACCAGAAGCAAGTGAAGAATGGCGTGATCGCTGAGGCCTTTGTCGGATAGAGCCGCATCGTCTTCGTGAATCTTCAGGTGCGCGTCCACATTCATCAGGTCGGTTCCCGAGAGGGAATGGAAGATGCGGTCGATTGCCGTGGCCGCTTGCGTGTTGGCCGAGAAGTGCGCAGGGAGGTCGTGCGTGATCTCTGTGGGCGAGGCAAAGAGTTGGCGCCGCCGCGCCTGCTCTCGCTGATATTGTCCATCAGGTGCCATAGGCCGCCAGCGCGCAGAAGGGCCCTTGAAGTTGACGGAGGGGGCAGTACTGGCATTGAAGTC